ACTTCATCCATGAAATTTCAGATTGAATAACTTTCCACACCATTCGGGTCTATGTAGGTAACTGCAACAGGGCACAAACCTTTTTTGTTTTGTTTTGTGTTTTGAGACAGGGTTTCTCTCCAGCTTTGGAACTAAGCCTATCTTGGAACTCATTCTGTATACCAGACTGGTTTTGCACTCACAGAGATACCCCTGCCTCTCTGCCTCCTGAGTGCTGGGATTAACGGTGTGTGCCACCACCATCTCGGCACAAACCATCTTAAAACAAAATTGTATTACATGTCAGGCATGCAGGCACATGCCTGTAACCCCGAAACTTGCAAAGTAGAAGCGGGAGTCAGGAGTGCAAGGTAAAACCATGAATATAAATCCTAATTGAAGGCCAGCATGGGCTACATGAGACTGTTTCAAAAAATTTTCAAAAACAGAAAGAAAACTGTACTGAACAGCTCCCACCCATCTACCTATAATGGAATTTAACATTTTGGATGAGGAAAGCACTTGTATCACAGATATCAATGTTTTTTTTTTTTTTAACATTTTAAACAAATTATCAACAACTAAATAGATTATGGATGCAAAAAATCTATTGAAGATATTGGATGTAGAGCTGAAGAGACGATTCAGCAGTTAAGAGCACTGGCTGCTCTCCCATAGGAACCAAGTACAATTCCCAGCACCCACTGACATTTCTTAACTATCTGGAACTCCAGTCCCAGGAGATCTAACCCCCTCTTCTGGACTCTACCATAATGTAATACAAATATATATGGAGGCAAAACACCCATACACACAGAAATTTTTTTTAATTATATATTAAACATAGAAGCTGGACAGTGGGTATGAATACTTGCTGCTTTTGCAGAGGACCTGGATTCAGTTACCAACACCCACGTGGCAGCTCACAAGCATCTGTTAACACCAACTATAGGTTATCTAATACCCTCTTCTAGCCTCCAAAGGCACTAGGCATGCACATGGTACACACATACATGTAGGCACTTATAACATAAAAATAGATGAATCATTTTTTTAAAAACCAATGTTGGATGCCAGGCAGTGGTGGCACATGCCTTTAATCCCAGCACTTGGGAGGCAGAAGCAGGTGGATCTCTGTGAGTTTCAGAACAGGCTCCAAAGCAACACAGAGAAAACCTGTTCTCAAACACACACACACACACACACACACACACACACACACACACACACACACACAGTTAGGAAGCATATCTGGAGAGATAGCTCATCAGTTAAGAATACTGGCTGCTCAGGCTGGAGAGATGGCTCCAAGGTTTGTTTTATTTTTTGTTTTTTGTTTTTTTGAGACAGGGTTTCTCAGTGTAGCTTTGGAGCCTAACCTGGCACTCGCTCTGGAGACCAGGCTGCCCTCGAACTCAGAGATCTGCCTGCCTCTGCCTCCCGAATGCTGGGATTAAAGGCGTGCACCACCAATGCCCGGCTAGAGATGATTCCAAGATTAAGAGCACTGGCTGCTCTTCCAGAGGTCCTGAGTTCAATTCCCAGCAACCACATGGTGGTTCACAACCATCTGTAATGAGATCTGGTGCCTTCTTCTGGCCTGCAGGCATACATGTAGGCAGAACACTGTATACATGATAAATAAATAAATGTTTGTTTTTTGTTTGTTTGGTTGGTTGGTTTTTCGAGACAGGGTTTCTCTGTGTAGCTTTGGAGCCTATCCTGGTTCTCACTCTGGAGACCAGGCGGGCATCGAACTCACAGAGATCCGCCTGCCTCTACCTCCCGAGTGCTGGGATTAAAGTCATGTGCCAATACCACCACCCGGCCAAAATAATAAATCTATAAATCTATGTATATATTGAATTCAAATATCTTCCACAATTTATCACGAATAAAAGCTGTGCAAGTGTTTCGTGATGTTAAAAATAAGGTTTGAGCTGGGCCATGGTGGCACACACCTTTAATACCAGCACTTGGAAGCCAGAGGCAGTTGGATCTCTGTGAGTTTGAGGCTAGCCTGGTCTACAGAGCTAGTTCCAGGACAGCCAAGGCTACACAAAGAAACTCTGTCTCAAAAAAATAAATAAATAAATAAATAAATAATAGTTTGAAAGCTGGGGAGTGGCCCAACTGTAAAGCATTTGTGAAGCCCTGGGGTCAATCCCCAGCAATGGAAAAAGAAAAAGGGTGTCACATTTTAGAGGGTCCCACTATGCAGCCCTGATTGGCCTGGAACTTGCTGTGAGATCAAGCTGGCCTCACAAAGATCCACCTGCCTTTGCCTTCTGAGTCCAGATATTAAAACCATGGCCATTTCCTATTTACAACAATAAAAAGTTTTGACTGCAATCACTTTTTCACCTGTTAAGTGTAACCCATGATAAAGAATATATTTAAGCCAGGTGGTGGTGGCCCACACCTTGATCCCAGCACTTAAGAGGCAGAGGCAGGCAGATCTCTGTGAGTTCAAGGCCAACCTGGTCTATAAAATAAATTCCAGGACAGCCAGAGCCACAAAGAGAAACCCCCCCCAAAAAAAAAGAAGAAGAAAGAAAAAAGTAATATTTGTTATTAGAAAGTCTAATTTGTTAGCAAAGCACTTACATTTTTTCTAAAGCATTCTATAAAGCAAATGACAACAGCATGAATAGCAAATGACTATCTCTGAATTTACACTAGTTAATTTCAATTAGTAGACCACACATGTTATACACAGTCACTCAAGATAATGAAGATACAGTTTACTACTGTTCACAAATTTAAGAACAATTCAGAATTTCAAAACATATGCACTCCATAAGGATATTCTAAATGAACTATTTGGGCATACAAGTATGCAGCTTAATCCATTCTATGATTGGACAGGAAGAGAATCTAACATTTTGCAAATCTAAAACTACCACTCTTGGGAGGAGGGTGGTTGAGAGAGGGTTTCTCAGTGTAGCTCTGGTTATCCTGAAACCTGCTCTATAGACCAGGCTGACTTCAACTTAGAAATCTACCTGTCTCTGCCTCCCAAGTGCTGGGATTAAAGGCTTGCACCACCACCTCCCTAAAATGCCCAGCCTGGTCTACAGCGTGAGTTCCAGGACAGGCTCCAAAGCTACAAAGAGAAACCCTGGGGGGGAGGGGGGATGTACTTAAAAGACAACTGACTAGGTAAAGGAATGGCCAGATGGAATAACTACAGATGGCTCAGAGGTTAAGAGCACTGACTGCTCTTCCAGAAGTCCTGAGTTCAAAATTCAATTCCCAGCAACCACATGGTGGCTCACAACCATCTGTTTATGAGTTCGGGTGCCCTCTTCTGGTGCACAGATATACATGGAAGCAGAATGTTGTATGCATAATAAATAAATAAATAAATGTCAATAGTAGAATCTAAGAGTTTGGATATGAAGTTGCACCCTGAATTAAAACTGTATTTTTACTTTTCTTGATAGTTATAAACAGTTTCCTAATGAACTGTTGAGGAAAAACATGTGCTGGTGTGTTGTTTGTGTTGTTTATGATTTTTAAGAAGAGAAACAAACTCCCTAGGGCTAGGAGTGCACCTCAGTGGTAGAGGCTTGTCTCCCAGAACTTAATGCCCCTGGATTCAATGCCCAGCACTGGGAGAACAAAAGAAAAAAAAAAAAACTAAAAGAAAAAAAACAATAATACTTATAAGTGGCATTTAACACAAGCATTTGGAGGGGACAACCCTGTATTCAAATCCCAGATCAAAACTTCTGACTCTGTAGACTTAATTACACAACATAAGAAATAAATCTACATTTCTTCAGGCACTAATGGGATGCATAGTTGCTTTGAGGCTGAACTCTTCACAAAGCACTTCACACAGGGTCAGGCACACAGTCAGCACTCAGTATGTGAACAGTACATATCTTTGAATAGACACTCATTTTATGCTGAATGAAGAAGCATTTCGTTTAAGATTCAGTAGCAATGTTTTCACCAGGTTGTCTCAAGTAACTCATCATTTTGTGACCATTTCCAAAAGGGACACTCCTGATAGGAAACTTGATGCTTTAACAAGCTGGCAAGGGGAAGTAAACGAAATGCCTTGAAAAAACATTGCTCAATCGATAGTATTGTTCTTCATCTGAAGAAAATGACAATTATAATTCTCTTTAAAAGTTTCAAGACAAACTTTTAAAAGGCTTTCAACAACTCCTATGTAGACAAGGCTTCACCTAAGCAGGCAGGCTGGGTGCATCCTCCAAACGACAAAACTTGTCACCTTCCCACGTTCCTAAGTGCAGGTAAAGAAGCTGGACTACAACCTACTTGTAGTTATCCAAAAACCTCCCTTCTACACCAACGACAACCCAAACTTCTTCTGAGGGGAGGAGTGCCCAGTCCACTTTGGATCTTGATAACGGTCAAGGGGGAGGGGAACACAGCAGGAAGATGAATTGGCTAGGGTCGGTGCTCCTGCAGCACCCTCCTGGCTTCTCCTCGGGAGACAACCCTCCACGACTTCTTCCCGCCACCGCTGCCCCCACCTGACCTCTCCCCAGAGAAACTTCCACAGACTCCGTTTTCCTCGAGGATGCAGAAGCCCAGTCTGACACCTTGCGGCCCCGAGGCTCGGCGAGTACGCACCACCCA